CCCCTGTGCCTGATATTTGATCTCAGGATTAATCTTTAGCTCAGGTCCTTAGAAACAAACCCCCTGCTGGCTCCCAGCTAGGATGGACACTGGTTGTTTTAACTAAAACTTATACACAACCTACAGAATCCACTGAACCGTATTATTAAGTACTATTTTGGGGGTTTTTCTCTCCTGGGCAGGGCGAGCCTTCCTGCTCCGTGTCTCTCTGGCCAGGTTTGCAGGTGGACAGTAGTATTGCACACGCGGTGTGTGCTGCCCCCTACTGGGGAAGGGCAGAACCACGAGGCCTCTAGCTTTCAAGGACTACCCCTGTTTTCTCTACTCTGATGCAGACAGAAGTTTAGAAATCAGAAACACCTAAGCACTTAAATTTCATGTCTACCTTAAGTTACAGCCCGCAAATCTAGCCCACAGTGACAGAGCACACTTGAGGTAAATGTCACCCTAGGATATCTGCTGTACTCAAAGGACTAAGACAAACAAAGCGGGAAGGGTGAGTAGACTGCAGACCTAGACTGCACTGGGTTTGAGTCCAGTCACACCTGCGCTGTCTGCCGTCTTGGTAGTGGGTCTGAGTGCCAAAGCCCAGATTTATCACCCATGAGATGTGTAGAGGTTGCTTACACCGTCAGATGGCTGTGGGGATTAAATTCCACCCAGAAAGTATGCATCACAGCACCTGGGATATACTACACTCTTACTGAACATCAAAGTGATCACAATCATTCAGAGACCCACTGCATGTTTTCTGCAAATAAAATCAGAATTACTCCAGAGTCCGCGTCCTTTCCCCATCCTGTGTGTGTGGGAAGGGCATCCTCTCTTTAGGTAACCTGTCCCACACCACACCTCATCTTACACTGCCACGTCCGTCACACGCTACTTTTCTCAGTGAAAGTCTTCTCTTTAAAGCTCCTTGTGTATGCTACCCTTTCCTCTCTAAGCACAAACTGACTCTCCTCTTCCACTTGAGCAACCTGCAGTCCTAGAAATCCACAATGCTCACTCAAGTGGGCAAAGCCACTGCCCTGTCACTGCATTCTATGACACAGGTCCCTGCTCCAGCAAAGATTCTCCCTAAGGTCACCGAGTGGGGTCTGCTCTTTTCCACCCTCAGTGGCTGCGTCTCTGTTCTTTTTCTCTATGGACTATTTGCAGGCTCGACCTGGTCTGCTTTCTCCATTCTTGAGTTTCGCCTGCCCCCAGCCGCTTCCCTGCGGACACGCCCTTGGAGCTGCATTTTCCAGTGTCCTTTCCTTCCATGGTGTTTGTGATCTTCTCTTTCGTTCCATTCACTCGCTGCCCCTCCACGAGTAAGTACCAAATACACCGTTCCTGGCCACAGTCCCTGCGCGGTCTGTTCACTGAGGCCACCAGCTATTAGAGTCCCAGGATGTCCTTCTCTCACACTGCATCCTGGGTTTGATATCCGTACTTTGACACCTCATACCTAGCTCAGGTTCACGCTGCTAGACAGATTTTGATTTATTTCTCCTTCTCTGTCACTCAGTCTGTAGAGTCTTAAGTCTCCTCCAAACATGTTTTCATTTTAAATTCCATTCATTTTTCTTTGCTATGCCCATAGCTATAGTCCGGCGAGGGCTCTTTCACATGAAGCCCAAGCGTTCTGCCTGGAGCTCCAGAAGCCGATCCTCTCCACACAGAGCACTTCCTACACCATCCTTAACCTAGGGCTTTGTGTCTCATCTCTTACTTTAAAAACACCCAGGGATGGTGATGGAGTTCTGCAGAGTCCAAACAAAATGTGGTTTAGAAGACGCATGATCACTTATTCCAATTTGCTTATTTTATTAATGAGGAAATACAGATCTAGACAAAGTCCATGGTTTCCCACTGGTTTCAAAGCCAGTCAGAAGCCAGCAAAATCTATGTTCCCTGTGCATCTGTTGAATATTCCACGCAGTTGCATGATTTGCTGCAGTAGATTAGTACAGAGCTCCCCTATCAGGGCATGAGGCCACCTGGAGTCTGGCTCTACCCCGCTCTGCACATGGGGTTCAGCACGGTTGATCTGGTCTCTCTGCTCGCTCTTCCATGAACCCCCATAAGGCCATCCGGCTTGGCTAGTGCTGCTCCTTTCTCCTGGAGTAATCCCCACCTTTGCATTCCTCTTTCCTTCTCATTCCTTACTGTAGGAGCCTTGCATACGTGCTGCATCCTCATTAAGGCGTTCCCTTCACCCCCGCTGTCACGGTTTATGTGGGTGGCCCCCAGGCCTCATGCATCTGTATTATGCATTTATGACATTGGTTCATCGTCTAGCATTTGCATTGGGGGAGAGAATGCTACACCTGCCTAGGGGTGGAGCCAGGATGTGACGTAATGACAGGAAGAGGACATGTCTTGCTCTCTTGCCAATTTCTGCCTTGCTGTTTGCAGCCACCATGAACCTTGGCCCCGCCATGCCACCCTGCCTTGGAGCCAACTGACTATGGACTGAAACCTCCAAAAACTGTAAAAATGAGCCTTTCTTTTCCCAATTTTGGGCATCAGGTATTTTGTCTCAGCAATGAGTAAAAAGTAACTGAGACACCACCATGGTAATTATTATCTGCTCTGAGCTGCAATAATTCTACTTTCCTTAACTTTGGCACACCTGGTTTAAGTTTTGTACTTAGAACACTGGGTGGTCTATAATACTGTTTCTGTTCTCTCTTACAGCACGACAACCTTGCAGTCTGAGAGTTCAGCTTTAGGTCTAAGCACAGGCACTTTCCAATGCTCCTGCTTGGAATTATTGAGATTTCCTTCCCAAACAACTGTAATTTCTGGGTCTGAGACCTTCCCACCTCTGGTGTAAGGGCAGAACCAAGACACTGAATAGATGCAGAGCCCAGGCTAGAGGGGCCTCCTTCTGCCTGCCCAAGATTTGACATTGCACAATGATTTTTAACCCGAAACGCTTGGTACTTTCTTTTGAATGAAACAGCATCTCCCTCCTCTGTCACCTAGATGTCATGCATGTGACAGATGTCATCAGGCCTGGCGAATCTTTCTACCCTGGGCACCAAACACAAAACTCTACCCATATTGAATACTTAATAAAATTTATTGATAGCTATGTTACCCTTCACATAGTTTACTTTCCGTGCCTGATTATTTCTCTCATCTCCCCCAAGCTCCTCGATATTTTCTGGAGTTTGTGGGGTGCACAGGAGCCATTTTGGCAGGCTAGCTTCCAGTAAAGCTTATGGCTCCTATTTTGAGGGGCTGGAAATTGACCCTCCATAGGATGCAGAGCAGAGAGAGATGCAAAGTCAGAGCTGATGACGTTGTTGTATCTGTAGGTTCACTCGTGCCCAAGGCAAGGCCTTTCAGGGGCTTCCACTACTGTGAAGCAAACAGACTCACTCTGCTTATGGGCAGTTTGGTCTGTTTTCTGTCATTTGAATGCTAGATTAGGCTCTGCTGCGAGACACTGTGCACCACATAAGCGTATTGGAAAGAAAACAACCCTTCAGAGATGTAGGTTGGCTCTGTGTGGGCTTCTTCCCAGGCATAGAAGCTCCAAAGATTTTTGCTTGTTTTGGATGACATGCTGTTGTTTACCACAGAAATGTATGCAATCAAATGTATTCAATTGTTCCCACATGGACATTTTATGACACACTATTTCTAGTTAAATGTTTATACGTTCCTTATGAGAAGGAAAAGTTTCTTTTTCATTACCTTTGACATTCTCCAATATTATTTTGCTTCTCTTTGAATGATAGTCTCAGTGAAAAGGAAGATATATTTATAAAGGAACAGGAGCATGCCTAGGTGTGCCTTGGTGACTTTTAGGAAAAAACAACCACAATGAGTTTTGAGAAATCTTTTACATTTTTAATTATTAAAAATACTAACAAGACAATTGGATATGCACATACGAAAGAATGACGTTTACATAAAGAGATTCACTCAAAGTGAATCATGCACCCAAGTTTTAGAGCTGAAGCTACTAACGCCTTAGAAAAAAACATAGAAGTAACTTTGTGACCCTGAGTTAGGCTATGGTCTTTTACAGGGGACATCAAAGCAAACATAACAACCAAATAGTATGGATTGGGCCACATCAAAAACTTAAAAGTTTGTGTAGCCCAGGATAACACCCATAGAGTCAAAAGACAACGTACGGAATGGGAGAGAGTTTTATAAATCATTTATTTGATAAAGGAGTTATATTCAGAATACACAAAGAGCACTTAATCTGGACAAAGGATCTATTTCTCCAAAGATGTACACGTAATCAGCAAGCACATTTTAACCATGTTCTGCATTGTTATTCACGATATAAATAAAAATAGAAACTCCCTGGTATGACTGTAATGTAAACGAGAGGCAATAACAACTATTAATGACAAAGTGGAGAAACAGAGCCAGCATGCACGGCTAGCAGGAGAGCTGGAGGGCAGCAACCCTGTGGAAACAGTCGGGCAGTCCCTTGAGAGTTAAAAACAGTCATCACGGCGCATCACACCCACCCCTGCATGTGCATATACCGCAGAAAAGAGAAGTACATGCCCACCTAAAATACCGTGCACACGTGGTCCAATGTCCACGGCAGCAGTGCTCGCAACAGCCAAACAGTGGGAACAATACCGAAGCCCATCAGCAGACAGACGGGTAAATAAAGTGTGTGGAGCCAACAGCGGAAAATGTATAGCAAAAACATATTTGTACAAGGAACAACAGGGATGAACCTTTAAAATGTTACACTAAGCAGCCAATCACAAAAAGGCAGTGGGGTGTATATTCTCTACTTCATATACATTGTGTATAACAAATTCAGAACTGGAAAATCTAGGGAGCTGTAGCCCACCACCACTGAGGGTGGAGAGACCGTTTGACTAAAATCAGATTGTGAAGAGAGCCATGAAAGCTTGCACCTCCTAAAAATGTTGAATCCTGTACTTGAAATGAATGCATTACTTCATATGTGAATTTCACATCACTGACAATATCAAAATAGAATGAAGCACATAAATCAGTAAGTATCCAAATAAACTTACAGAAATTTTCCCTTAGAGCATTTTCATTTCAGAAGTGTGATGTCTCTGAATTAAGGCCATTTTTATTTCTCCGTGCTGAATGCTGTGACTTTCCCGGGTGCCCGGGGTTTCACACCAACATCCGTTTCTTATCTACTGAACCCAGTACTTTCGAATGTAGGGAACCTGGAGGGCGAATTTTACACCTGTGCACCCCCTTCTGGAAGGGCTCGGACTACAGAAATTCCACGGAATGCCAGCTGCTGCACGTGGAGGAAAAGGCTCGCTCCCTTGTTCAGTCTGCACTGACACCTCAAAGCCTGTACCCGTGCATCTTCTGGATCAGAAATGCTCAGTCCTCCTGATTTGCCAGTGCAAACCCTGCAGAGTGGACCCGTGAGCAAGGGCGTCCTCACACCTGCCAGCTCAGCCATGCGTCCCTGAGCTGAAGGAAAACGGGCTCGGAGGACAAGGTTATTTTTAGCTGTGGGTCCCAGCTATTCCCCAGGAAACCTGTCCGCAAGAAAGCAGTGCCAGTTATTCTATATTTAATACGGTAAGTGACCTTGCTTCGTTTTACCCAGCCTTGTCGTCCTCCAAGGAAAGGAAGTTAAATGGCAGGCGAATGGAATTAGCTTTTTCCAGAGCGACAGTTCTGTCCATCCACAGTGAGGCGACTTGCCGTCACTGTTGCTTTTTTTTAAGTATCTTACTGCAGACATCGGAAAGTTAATTCAGCATGAATCAGGCAACAGATCATCTTGGTTGTTTTCTGAATGACAGATTATTTTCCATGGGAAGTGTTGGAGTATTGCTTTCTGTCAGCAGATCATACTGAATCATTGAAAGTGACAAGGAGACACAGATCTTGATTAATGGGGTCTGATTGAACTGAAGATATTAATGCTCTCAACTTTCTGAAATACATATTCAACAGCAGATGCACAGAGGAATTACAAAGAGAAAGTTAGCAGGCGGATACTTGAATAATGGTTTTTTAAAAGATGGAAAGAAGTATGTCACCGGAAATATTGGACATTTTAGAATACTAGGGAAGTTATGGTGTTTCCAGACATGGATGAAAATGTTTTCTCTTGGGAATGTTTTGTTTCTTTTTTTGTTTTTCTTTTAGTGGTACCAGGGATCAAATTCATGACCTCACACTTGCCAGGTGCTTAGGCCCCTGAGCTAAATCCCCAGCACCCCCTCCCCTATGGCTGGAGATGTTAACACTTAACTTTTATTCTTTCAGGCAGATGAGGGGTTTCTTCTCACAGCTTGAAGGTGGCCACTCTCTTACTGTGTGCCTTGGAGCATGCGACCCTGAATAGGTAGAGAGATCAAGCTTCCTGGGCTGTCTCCCAGTAGGACATCCACCCACCTGGCAGGTCCTGTCCTCATGAATCCATGCTCGCCCAAATCTCTCCCCAAGCTCCAGATGCTGTCGCTTAGGGAGGAAGAGGTGAAACATAGGAACTTGGGGGAACACAGACATTCACTCCAAGAATAACGTGAACTGCACTGCAAGCATATTATAAATTATGCTCGCAATATATTACCACAGAAACGTTGTATCACCAGCCGAGTATCAACACATAATGTTCTACCACGTGGATTCAGTAAGAGTTCATTTCCTGAACTATGGCAAAAATGAATATTTGCAACTGTGCCCTTGTTCAGTTGAGTTGGCAGTTTTATAGATATGGACAACATATTGGCAGAAACATTTGACAATCTAAATAATATTGCTGGTGATTTTGTTTTTAGAGAGAAATCCTATGAAGGAATTATAACCTTGGATTTGAATTAGCTAAGAGTGTAGAGAACCTTCACATCTGTATCCTGTTTGACTTTTCCTATTAGTATATAAGCAAATCAGAGCAAGCATATTTAAATGTCACTTTATACATTAGAAAATCAAAGTATATGAGTTTTTAAAAAAATGAATGCTGATCTAAATTCAAATTCAAATAATTTTCAGGGCTAGACTTAAGGCCCAGCCTGTCAGCCCCTTTGGGTGATTACTTTTATTGTCGTTGGTAAACTCAAAGAGGCAGGAAAGGTCCAAACTGGCTTGGAGAAAGCGTATTTTTCATTTGGAACCTAGAGCTTGTTTCCTGGGACTCTTTGCTTCTATTTCTGCACCTGTTCGTTTCATCTTGTCTTTTGGTGATGGCAACTTTCCAATCTTTGTATATTTTTCTTGGACTTGAACCTCTGCATTGTGCTGTTACTGCCAGCAAAAGATTAACTTAGAAAACAAGAGATACACCAGGAAATGCAGGAGGCTCCTGGCTCAGCTCTGCGATGTAATCCAATTTCTTTATTGCTGTGTGAGATGTCCAGTGACAGGCAAAAAATTGGACAAAAATGTATGTTAAATATCTGCACAACAAAATCTTTAGTAATTCGAAGATATACAAGTTAATGTCTTTCTAATCATACTGATAGTGGTCTTTTTAATAAAATAAAACTTGTTCTATTCAAAGCAAAAACACACTACTCTAAAGAGAAGGAACTCAATTATTATGGGCTGGAAAGAAACATGAAACATGATGAGGTCATAAATATATGTATCTTTCAAATAAACACTAAAATGTTCATCAAGTAAGTAACTGAGATGAATCATGCACCTGAATTATTACAACACATTAAAAGGTGGGCAGCATTACAGACAAAATTTGATCTGGCACTAAGAAATAGACTCCAACCCTCAAGCGTAAGATTTGGAAATTAAGTGCAGACATGTGCCATGTAATGTTCTTGTAGACAAAGGGCCACAGGTGCAAGGCTGGTCCCAAATACTCTACCACATGGCCATGTCATTGCTGGCTTGCATTGTAGAATTTCCTTCTGTGGTGCTAGCACAATGGGGAGGGTACCTCAGGGTGTGCTTCTTAGGACATATCCCAGCCATTACATGCCGCAGAACTGTACAAAACCACTTACACCGTTAGCTTGGGAACTCATTACACACACCACTGGCCCTCCCAAATTCACTCCCAGTCCATGATATTTTATTTTTTCGTTTTCACTTTCTCATACAGACTAAGCTATCATTCATTGAATTTTATTGTGGTTAAAATTTTATTTATTATTTATTTTTGTGGGTAGTTGGGGTTGAACTCAGCACCTTTACATGGTGCTACATCCCCAGCCTTTTCAACATTGTCTATCTGGGACATGATCATGCAAAATCACTAGGTTGTCCGGGCTGGACTGAAACTTGTGGTCTTTCTAATTTCAGTCTCTCAGAGTGTTGGGATTGCAGGCATATACCACCAGCCTGGAAAAATGTACTTTAAACTGTAAATTTTAAAGTGTTATTAGCTACTCATACGCCTGGTATCAGTTAATATAATTTCCCTCTGCAGTCCAGCTAAGGCGGCATCAGTGTAGCACTAGGCCTCTGACCAGAGACAGAAGTGCACTGCAGTGCTTTAAGCAGGTCCAGCAGGTGGTGGTAGGTGAGTCCCGGGGCCTCTGGGGGTGTGGGGCAGTCAGAGGACACTGAGCACCCGGAGAGAGGGGGCTCTAAGAGCTCATCTGAGCCAGCGAAAGCAGAGATAAGCAGTATGCCCCATAGCCAACTCTGCCGGGGGCCAGCCTTAGAGGAGAGGTGAGGTCTATAGGAGCATTCGAGCCGGGGACCCTCCACTTCTCCCCAAAAACGCCCACCCTCCTTCCTGGGGCTGCACACCTCATCCTTCGTCCACCCCTTGCCCTGCCAGCTGGGCACCCAGAGCTTCTTCCTCTGAAATCCTATCTCCTCTCCCTCCTAACTCTGCTTTTACTGTGTTTTACATGAACTAATGTTGGCATTAACAGGTCCAGGCCCTCACACCAGGGCCAGAGGGAAGTTAACTTTGAAAGACCATTGCCTCACAAAAGTGCAAAGTTGGACTCACAGAATTCATTCTTCTAGCTCTTTGCAAAACAGAATCATATGCATATGGGCACACAGACACAGGAATGTGCCCACTCTGAAAAAGCCATCCCTGTACGCCCAACCACATGCCTGCCCTTCAGCTTACATTATGATGGAAGAGTGTTTTCCTTTTCTCCTGGCAGAAACAGTTGTGAAGCTTTGCTCCTGTGTAATCCATAATTTCCTCTCTAAATGACAAGCAGATACGTGTATTCAGACAGATGTGAACCGATCTCTCCTTTCAAGTAACTGGTGCACTCTGCTGTGAGGAGGGCTTTGAATGTTGTACAAATTCACGCCATTGACTGCACTGAGTGGCACCAAAATGTTGTCAAAGTCCCTGTACAATTCAAATTAACCTCTTGGTACATCTGTAGATCTTGACTCTGGACATTTTTATTTGTTTTATAGCTTTCAATTTTATATCTGGCTGGGTAATCATTATTATCTTTGCTTTCTTGTTTGTTTTTCTGGGTGCTGTTCATTTTCATAGTGGTGGATTCTTCTCTATCCTCACTGGGTTTTTTTTTTTTGGTTTTTGTTTTTTGTTTTGCAGTACCAGGAATCGAACTCGCCACCTCCACTTCCCAGGCAGGCACTTATGCTGCTGAGCTAAACTCACTCCCGGCTATACTCACTGTTTTGAATACTTCTCATTTCAAAGTCCTACATGACCATGCCATTAAATGCATCTTTTGATACATATTTTTACATATTGTAAGATTTTAACTTGAGCATTTTATTTCTTTCATCTTGTATCTAATTAGTTCTCACTTATTCCCAAAGTTTTAATTTTATTACAGTATCTTTAAATATCTCAATCCTATTTTATGCCCTTATTTAGTCTGACCTATGTTATTAAGTTTTCTTAATATTTTAATTGGTTATTTTCTATTTATTATCTCTTTTAGTATTTTTAAAATTTATTTTATAAAGTATTTCATTATGACTATGATAATCGTGGCTGGGTTGGATGTATGGATAAAGACCACACCGCAAATTAGAGACCTGAGAAACCTCTGTCTTAGTCATCTCAATAGTTTTGTGTTTGACCCCCTAAATAGATTTCCTGTCCTGTCAAGGAATGCTGAAACCAACCTTAAAGTCCTTAAATAAGCCCTAAAGCCAAGCTTTTTTATCAGATAAACTACCCCATTGACACAGATATTACAGTGAAAATATTGTTACCGCTATGCACTGAGTCCTGTATGGTGAGCTTCTGCTGGTAGCATTTAACACCTGGTCAGTGACATGAGTCACACTGGGCTGATGGGAACAGCTTGCTTGTGCCAGAAAACTGACGTCTGCGTAATGAGGGGCAGGTGGTACTGGTTTTGGCAGAGGACACCATGGCGCAGAGCACAGGGAAGTGTGTACACATTCTTCCTGCTCATGAATTTTGCATTATGTCTACAGGAGCATCATCCAGGGCATGCCTCCCCATGCCCTTCCCTGTCCTTCATGTCAATAGTCTAGGAGAAGCTAAGAGACCAGACATCACCTGCCTCGGATTTCTCTGGATCATTATGGTATCTATTTGTTAGCTCTCATAACCTCGGATAAATTTTTATGGGTCTGAACTCATTGAAAGAGATATACCCCCCACTTTTTTTACGTTTCCTTGGATGGAGAGAGACAAATGGTTTATATTCTTTTACTTTTTCTCTATCAGTATACAAAAGAATAGAACAGTTTAAGAATTAAAATATTCTTTTACTTTTTCTCTATCAGTATACAAAAGAATAGAACAGTTTAAGAATTAAAATTTTGTTTTGGTTTAGAGCTTGGCTGTCCCCTCAAAGCCTCATGCATTTGGAAGATGACTAGATCACTGCCCGTGTGGAACTCAACAGCGGCTTAGTCCAGGAGGAGTCTGTCTGCTGAGCTGCTGTAGGTCAGGAAAGGCAGGTGCCGGAGAGGTGAGCTGGATGTGGATACGTATGGCTCCCGACCTGGCTCCTCCCTTCTCTCCCTATTTCCTGGCTGCCATGACGTTAGCATCTTCCCTCCTGCAGGCCCTTCTGCCTTGGAGACAGCCAACCATGGACTGAATCTTCTAAAACCATAATCCAAAATAAACCTCTTTTTCTGTTTAAATTGTGGGAGCTGAGTGTTGTGTCCCAGTGATGAGAAAATTACTAAGACATACACTGAGTGCTTTTTGAGGATAAATTAGAAGAGTTGATGGTATAAGGATTACCATTTGCCCTTTTTAAGTGAAAACATAAGAATTTGCATGCAAATTCCTGAAATTCAATCAAGTAGATCCTGCGTCCGCTCAAGGATGCGTAACTGGAATATGACTACAATTGAGAAATCTTGTGTCTAGCTAAAAATGTGTTCATGAACAAATTATGGTTCAAACATTATGCTCTGAAAGAAAAGCATGAAAGAGAAGACAGACGCGGGATCTAACATTACCCAGGGAACCTTGCCTCACAGACAGCAGCCTCTGTTCTATTTCAGAGCTCCGCCTCCGGGGCACGGGGGTGGCTCTGGCTGGTTTAATGAAGGATTAAGACCGTCTGACCAAATCCCTGTGTCCTCATGACTTCCATGTCTGTGATCAATTTGATAAGCTGAAAGATAGGTGAAAACATCAGCAACTACTCCACTTCATAACGTGGAGCTGAAATAATATTACACAGTAAATGCTTAATATGAGGTTATGACCATACAAGTGTTGAAGTGAGGACATATAACAGCAGTCACATATATAACAAGGTCCCTATAAAAACTCTTATAATAACATAGTACTTTAGAACTTTTGATAGAGGCAGCAGTGGTATTAGGAATGGTATTTTTACCCTGTGATTGTAATAGTGTTGACTTTTCTCTGTGGCTACTGTTCAATTAATTGCAATCCATAATTAATCAGTTTGTTCCGGATTGCACGGTGCTGCCTGTTCATTATGCCTGAAGACCCAATTATAAACTGCTCTGTAAGTCACCTCAGGCTGCCTTAACAAACGACCGTAGATGGGTGACTTGAATAACAAAACCTACTTTATCACAGTTCTGAAGGTCAGAAGTCCATATCAGTGTCCGGCAGTACACAGTCTCAAATTAGGGCTCTCTGCGCAGATTGCAAATGGCCAAATTTTTGCTGTATACACACAGGGCGCAAAGAGAGAAAGCCCTCTTTCTCTACCTCTGCTGATAAGACCACTGTCACCATAATGAAAACTTACTCTTGTGACCTCATTTAACCTTAATTACCTCGTAAAGATCCTACACACAGACACAGACACATGGAGGGCTACAGCCCAGGCGTGCAAATTTGGGTTGATATAATTCAATCCACAGCAACTGCCAACTCCAATTAGAGGGAATCATCATTGTGTTTTGAAGAGCAGACCACACGCTTTTGGAAAACTCAAGTGAGCAGAACAATGGGCATAATGCATGCAGCCTGTTCTTTTCCTTAATGAGACCACTCACATCTCCCATTAGCATGAGAAAATATCCAGTTTCACAGACCAAGATATTTGTTTTCAAACTATGAGATGATATAGCTTGTAGGAGATGAGTGTTCAGTTTCAATAGATACCATTACAGATCTACTTCAAACATTTGGGCAAAAAGATTTTTTGTTCTGTAATAATTATTATAATAAGCCAAATTTGTTTATAAATACTATCCATAGAGGCAAGCTAAATATATCTCATCATAGAAGGATAATTCCAAGCTCTTGTTGAGTAACCTTATCTTCATTTTGATTAAAGTCTTACTATTTAAATGAAACATGTTGATTGAAGATGGGTTTCACCTGGTGATTGACTTGCAAAAGGCCTGCTAAACACATTTATTCTTTTGCTATCAGCATTAGTTCCCACAGATGATTGTTCATGTGGTGATCAATATTCATCCACAAAGAAGCCAAGCTGCTCACCAATGGTCCACTCAGTTCATACACTTGGAATAATCCATCAACTCACAAACCCCACCACATAGTCAGTATCACCTATCATATATGCAAATGCACCTGAATATATATTAAACACTCATAAATTCTGTAGATGCAACAGGAAGCAGAAATCTGTTTATAAGAGATCTTGGCTTTCCAGAGGCAGTGTCTATCTGTATGAATGATTCTGCACTGGTCTGGTACACAACAGCCAGGATTCAACAACAGAGATGTTAGATGGAATTAGAGGATTATTATACTCAACCCTTTAAGAAACTCTAGGGTTTTTGAGAAGCTAGGTTCATATCCCAAATTGAGATGATCAGAAAGAATTTTATTAAGTGAGACAAGACCCATAACTCCAAGTAAGGAGCAAGCCCTCCAAGGGTCAGGACCATGGTCAGCGGGAGGCAGCTCTTGCTGGGACACCCCTGTCCTGCGGACTGGGAAATGGTGCTCCAGGCTGCTTCCACCTCAGCTTCCCTGGATCCTTGTAATAATTCTGAGGTTAACCTGGTCTCATTACTTAGTTTTAAATGGACTGGTACTTAAATGTGACTTACCAAGAACACTTGAGTTTCTCCTGGGACTTTTGTTCCTCTTGTTAGTATCTGGTTTACTTTTCTTTAATGATTTGTGGCCGGTGCTGTATCCTACGATATGTCAGTTAGTCCTACTTTTTTCAACCACTTGAGAAATACTCTGTAAAGCAATAAATTTCTTAGCAAGTCACAACATTTTGTGGCTCATGACCAATAGCTCCAGTCGCTATTTTCACTGTGCACATCTAAAATGGCCAGCCACATGAATAATGCAACAAAATGATTTGGCATAGCATCTCATTCTTTTTTATGTTAATTTTTTAAAAAAACAAAACAAAAAAGAAATGATACAGAATTTCGAAAACTCATAGGAAATTAACACTAGTTAATATAATGTATATCATTATCTTAGAAGTAGTTCAGGTTACAAGATTTAGGAAGAAAAAAATGACCAGACAATGGCAGCACAAGCTGCTCTACATAACTGTACTACTAATCTGCATGTTATTCTCAGTTACATGCAAACAGTCATTTAAAAGCCTTCAAAACTCATCTCTTTTTTCACAATACTTAACCTGTATTATACATAGAAAATGAGCAAAACTGAAATGTTACTTAAATCTTCTCTTGATGCAGAAGCAGCTTCGGTGACTTACAAGTAATTTCCCAAGCTTACAGGACTGCAGTGCCCAGCACAAGCGGACCTCTGTATACACAGCTACATGCCACCACTTTCTCTGGGAGTGAGCAGGGTGCGGCTGACTACGCCTGTGGCACTGTGGAGCTGTTAATGGTCACAGAGGATTTTCTGACTCAGGCTCATTGGGGATCAAGAGGAACTTTTCCTAATTCTGGTCTCCTGGGCCATCATTCAAATACATTATTCAAGTAGCTAATGAGACAAGCAGAGCTTGAACTATAATTGACTTGTATTCTCCAGGGAAGCCAGCTCTGAGAGCAGATCTAAATAAATTCCCCAAGTGTGCTATAGACAGAAAGTACTATAATTAATTTACCCATCAGGCTCCGAACACCCTGAGTGAAGAGTCACTCACTGCTTCGTTCCCCACCGCCCAGACCCCAGCGCCTCTGGGGGAGAGGAGACCCTGAACCACTCTCCCATATTCTAAAATATAAATATGCTTCAAAACAAAGATGTGGTAGAGTTGTATGTGTGCCTACATATATAGATACATATGGAAAAGTGTGTACATGCATGTTTCTTTCATTTTCCAAAGCATATAGTGCAAAGAAAGTAAAGGCACATATATGTACCATAATGTAGTTCTGAATGTTATAGAAGTATATATTAAATACAGTACTATGTTATTTATATGAATATCAACAATATTATCCTCACTCTTCAACATATGTCTAAAAATTGATCCGTTACTTTCAACTTTGAAAATCAATCACAAAACTTTAGCTCATCATGGCTGAGACAGTTCCTTCCCACTGCACTAACATAATGCAATGTTAAAAACACATATCAAACTGCTATCAAGACAAAGAAACAAAAGGACATTGGTGCAGATGGGACCTTTGAACATACTGTTGGAAAAATCAGAGTTTGCAGGTGATTAGTCTCTGATGTCATAGAGCAAAGAAAGCCATAGCCTAGAGAACTGCAGATGTAATTTCCTGACAAAGCAGGGGTTCAAATTTTGCAGAAGTTAATTTCAAATAGAGCAGAGACCATGAGAGTACCAAAGACCTACCTAAGCGGCAGTTGGCCTAGGAGTGCCCACAGTGACTACACCCCCCCCCCCCCGTGCCCTTCCAGAGCCCAAGGCACCTGTGCTCAGGACAAGGGAGTCAGAGTGGTAGTGTAGTAACTGGTCAGAGTTCGAATTTAGGAAAATTAAACGGATGAAATTTTTAAAGTCTCAGCCCCATACAATTTATGGTAAGAACAAGAGCCAAGCAGTCACAGCCTGAATTACTCTCATGGCAGGATGTCACAGACACCACTCAGAAAAACAGGATGGCCTCAGAAAACCTGAGTTTGAAATACCGAGATTAAACAGCACCCAAATAGAAACATGAGCTAATAGGAAGCCTGGGATTCAGGCGGCACTAACCACACACCTGCAGCTACAGCGTCACTCAAAGGAGAACAGATAACCAAAGATCAAAGGCCATCTTCTCCAACGCAGGAGAAAACAGTCCACATTGCAGCGAGCAGCAGTAGAAGAACAAATGAAGGAGCCAGAAAAAAAATATATGGTACAAGAAAGGCTGCTTTAAAACTAATTTCCTCAAAGGAGAGCTCAGATGCTGTGTGCTCGCCAAAACTAACCTGTCCTATGAAGCCACCATCCCAGCATCCCCTCCACACACAGAAAACAACAAGGAAAAGCCAACAGTGTGTGAGAGAAAACCAGAAAACTTGTACCATAGATCCTTCTACCTGAACAGGCATCCAATTTAAGGCAGTTTTAGAAAGAAAGTAGGAGGAGAGAAAGTGTTATTCTCCAGAATTGAAAGAGTGATCCCGAGGCCACTATTGCCAAGTCAGAAAACACCCCAAATGTTAGCTCCTTTTAAAATTCATCCTATTCGTGGTTTCATAGCTCAAGAATTTGGAGGAAAGAAACGGTTCATTGCTGCTCCATAATTGTCTGA